ACCTTCCCATTGAAGCATAAACTTTGACAAACTAGATATCCTAATTACGTTGTATTTTAATTACATTTAAATATACATAGACAGTTTCTGAGAGCATTTGCCAGTATATTAAACACCGCAACAGATTGCCTGGCGCAGCTCTCAGAGATGCCTCTGCTTTTCTTTAAAAAGCAAGAGCATGGAATTTGTTAGTAGGAAAAAAATAGATATTACATTATCAGATATAGGAAATTGTACTGCACCTTCTTTCTTGAAGTTAAAACATGCTGATTAAATGCTACTCGTAGTTGATAAAAAGTAATAAAGAATTAGTCAAAAGTATTAGTTCTACTCAGCTTTTATGACTATAAACAACTAAGAATGCAAACAAGAGTAAGAACCTAACATTAAGTAATAAGATTTTACTGTTAAGAGAAAAGTTTCATTTGAGTTAGAAAATGGGGGGTTTAAACCACTGTCATCCCCTCCAACAACTGCAAAATCTATTTTATGAAACTCACTCAAAAGTACAAACTGCAATGCAAGTAGCCCAATGAGACAAAAATAAACACTTGTCTGGAAAGTAAGAGTTCTCATCTAATAAGTTCCTATACATTTATTCAAAAGTAAATGACAAAATAAAGAAAGTGAGACTTCAAAGTATCCTTAAAATGCAGGTGTTAAAATCTCTCCAGCTAAGACCAGGACAGAATTCTTGTCACTGCTAGGACTGATGTCAGGACCACTTGCTCATTCATGTTTGGAGAACAAACAGTTATTCAAAAGCAAAACACACGTGCACATGCATGAACACACAAACACACACACAGAGAGGTAGAGAGAGAGAGAAAGAGAGAGAGAGAGAGAGAGAGAGAGAGAGAGAGAGAGAGAGAGAGAGAGTCAACTAGTATTGTCCTCAAGAATTTCATGGTCACTGTTAGAAAAGTAACCTGTCCAAACATTTAAAAAAAAAAAAATACATGCACCTGGGTTTCCTAGAAAAAAATCTGCAGTGGAATGTATTTCACTCTGCCATGATACTCTGTTCAGTGAAGAAGCATAACCCAAGAAAGCTTTTAGTAGATATTTTCTGCTCCAAATTACAGGTAATCACACTGATTCATTTAAGGAATGGCTTTGTCCTATTATTACCCATCTCCCATAAATACACCTATTATCCATGTAGCAAGCCTAAGGAAAACATTCATGTAATATTAAGCAATTGAATAACGGTAAGAGGTGATGGACACTCTAAATTTAACCCTCCTCTTCTGCTCTTACATATTTCCTATGATTTTAACATCCTTATAATCACATGATAATGTTTGAAGCAGTATGAAGCAAATGGGGTTATTTTAACATGCATTTTGTGATATTTTTGCCAATTGGTAAACCCAAAACTATTCATTATCAAAACTGGCAAACCCATTGGTGTTTATGATGAATGTAATCAAATGTGTTGATGCTCATCCTGGTGTATTTACACGATTCTTAGAACACACAAGAATGCAGCGGATCTCCACCTACCATGGAAAACAAAACAGACTTGTTTTGATTCAAGGTGAATACTTTCTTTTGCTTAGACTCTTCTGGGTCCATCTGTATAGTTGCTTAGAACTTGGACTATTTCCCAAAATTGCAGTATTCATTAAAAATCAGAATACTATTCTCAAATATCTAAAAAGGCAACATACCTAAATTTTTCATGTATCTATAATAGACATGAGAAAGTTTTCATGCATATGTACAAAAGTGTGTCTACACCGTTCATTTTTTAAAATTATGCAATATAGAGTTTGAGAGCATTGATATTCTGGGTGACATTTATCACTTCTTTTAGTCCAGGAAATATTTTAGAATTTGAAATGAACTTGATAATATGAATCTAATCTAAGAACATACAGCTAAGTGAATTAAATAGTTATTAAAGAATTAACAATTCTTTGTCTTGTGTTGAAGCAAAGTGTTGAAGTCTCAACCCACACAAAAAGAGAATCTGTACAGTTATAACATGAAGTTAGCAATATTTTTATATAAAAACAAGATTGGGAAAGAGCTGGAGATTTGGGGAGAGGGTACAAAATAGGAAGTTCAAATATATAAATGATGTTTTTATTCTCTCTTATTCTTTTCATTATCTACCAACCAGTAAGAGAAAAATAAACAGAACTGCATGTCTCTGCAAATATAGGTGTGCAGTTTGTCACTTGGCCCTGGAAGCTTTTTAAAAAGACATTCAGTCCAGGTTTTTCAGTAAAAAACAACAACAACAACAACAAAACCCAGAATTACAAATAATTTAAACCCAAAGGCTAGTTTCACTCTTTGAACTCAATTAGAAATGATGACTACCAAAATGGGATATATAAGGCTTACGCCTGGGAAGACACAACATCCTTTAAAAAACTCTGAAATATGTTCCTTATGCAACTAAACTAACGCAATTACCAGCAAGAGTAACGGGCAACATCCTAAGGGGAGACTCCATCTCACTAACCAAATTCAAGAAGCTATCACCAAATTGCACTTTACCAATTATGTGTCATTGGGTATAACTAAATCTAATTTCCTACTTTTTCTTCTTGTAAATTCCTGACTAGCTAGTTATGGGAAATTACTTATTAGGCCAACTGTTTTCTGGAAAGAAGCATTTGGTAAGTGTGATGAACTCTAAACTGCTAGTATAAGTTCAATTTCATAATACTTGGTTCTCATACAGAAATTCAACTCTAATTTCCAGGACCAATACACAAGACAACCAAGGAGCCTATCTAAACATCTTGGTGGTTGATGCTAATTCTGAGACAAAGCAAAGGAGAATGTCATAGATTGTTATGAAGAGTTTCACAGGCTTTGCCTTCATAATTAATAAGCTGACACAGCATACTAAACACTTATCAACACAATCACTGGGGCTGCTTCCTTCTTGGGGAAATAGCGAATACGAATTATCTGTAATACACCAATATGTCACAAATATCATGGTTCTTCAGGAGAATTTCATCCCCAGCAGTTTCATCTGGGTAACATTTAACAATTTCACTATTTTAACATTTTGAAATGCCAAAAAGAACACACTGATCCTGCAGCTAGGCTTATTAGAGAAGAGCAGTCTCGCAGGCAAGACAGAAAGGAACACAGTCCGCTGGGAGATGAGTAGCAGGAAAAAGCAGAAAACACTAGAGAGCAAACAAAGCCGAGCCCTGCTCCACTGTGAGGTCTGATTTTCACCAGAATTTAAAACTTTACACGCACAATTAAGTATCATCACCTATGGCTTAATTAAGGTTCTAGTAACAGCATCCCTTTCTATACACAGCCACTGATGTCATTCATATTTGGGAGCAGAAATATCAGGTTTGTCTGCTTAACAAGGAGCATGCAAGCATAGTAATTTGGAAAGGTCAGAAGTGAGTGTTCCCACCATGTGGCATTATTGCAACCTCATGGAGGATCAGGAACACAATGAGACCTCCCCAGTCAGACACTTGATACATACATACCTCAGCCACAGTGTTCCTTGTTTGGAAAGGGAGACATCTTTTGAAGCAATAAAAGAGATTGTTCAGAGTAAGTTCTCCTAATGACCTAAAATGATTAGTTAAAAACAAACAAACAAACAAACCTGTATCAGCATCAAGCCCTTTTCCCAGCTACAGAAGCTGCTAGTGTGCCTACAAATAAGCACCTGCAATATGTGCTACTTAACATTCTGGAGGTGCATGGATTCTGTTCCAGTGTGGATGTAACCAGAAAATCATTTCTTTCGGTTAAGAAACTATCCATGGCCTTTCGTTTTCATAAAATTGCTAGTAACAGAGTTGGAGAAGGAGGGGGTTGGTGGGGGGGCAGAGAAAAAGCAATCAGTAGATTTGGCTCCCTTTCAAATCGTCAAAAGCTGGGACTGAAAAGCAACACTTTAAATCAGACAGTCCTGTGGGAACCTCGAAGGCTGGTCGCTACTACTTTCTCAATTTTCTGCCAGTTGGACTTATGTGGGGAGTGACCCCACAGATAATCCGTGCCCACTGAATTTCCTGTGAGCATGCGCATTTTCCCATTGTTCAAAGGAATTAACTTGGTAATGAAAATGAGAAGTTATGGGACCCAGAGAGGTATCTTTCAATGCCTTTAAAAACCAGTAAATCTGCTCAAATCTCTCAACGGATTAAATGCCCAAGGAGGCTTAATACGACAAGAAATAAACAAAGGCATGAATAGCTCGCTAATAGCTCCTATTTGGAAGAAAAAGATGGGAAACAGAATGCTTCATAAATAGGTTTACTATATTTTTTCTCATCTCCCTAAAGCCTTTAAGACATAAACCATGTACTACCATTAGAAACATGCATCTTGCTTTATACTTTGAAATGACCAGTTTTTCACGTCTGTCATAGACATTTGCATTCAGAAGATGCTCCACTCAAGACTTGTAAGCCTTACCAAGAAATGCCTTTTTTTAAATAAAGCATCAACTTTGTTCACCTGATGCCAGCTCTTAGTTACATGGTCCTATAACATTCAATTACTATGCATACTGGTTTTTCCTTAAAGAGAAATGGCTACTGTAGCTATCATTCTGTATCAGAGAAGTTCATTATTTGACATAGACTTCTTTACATGACATTTAATATTTTGATTGAGTCGTTTTCTAGATTTTGGTGCAGAGAAGTGTATTCCTCTGGAAGACTTGGTTTCTGATATGGTTAAAAGACATCAAATATCATCTCAAGCGCTTGTTTTCCCAAACATGCACAATTACACATTTTCTACAAACAGACATTAGTGTATACAGAGCTAGGTGCACATTCAGTATATTAGAAACGGTAGAAGCCTCCAGAAGTAGCTCAGACTACAGTTAACAAGCTGGAACTATACAGCTAAGTAAACACCACCGACGCACGATTTGCTTCTCCTGGAACACGAACTCCGCGCTTAGGACACCTGGGGACCACTGGCCAGTACCGAGGGGGGCGGGAGGCGGAAAAGCTATTCCCAAACGTCACTGTGCCAAGTCTTACCCTTCGCATCCCCCGGTCCACGGGCCAGAAGCTCCCTCGGCACCTGTCGCCCAGCCAAGAGACTGGCTCTCTGCTACAAGGAAATTTGCCCCCCGACTCTACGAGAGCTCTGCAGACAGTCCAGGCTCCCGCCTGAGCCAGGAAAAGGCTCTGGCGCCAGGGGAGCCCGAAGGAGGCGGAGGCGGAAAAGAAGTAGAGAAGGTAGAGGCAGAGAGCGAGCCGGGAGGCGGCGCGGGGCGCGGCGGGGCGGGGTAGAGCGGGGCGTGCCTGCGGCGATCGGTCAGTAAGTCAGTCGGTCTGCGCGCCCGCGTCCCCAGCCTCCAGCACTCGTGCGCCACAGCCCCCGGGACTGTCGCCCTTGGGCTCTGGCAGGCCCGGGGTCGTTCTCTAGCTCTCCCTGGCGTCCCGTTGACCGCGCTGGCCGGCTTGGGGCCGCCCGCCTGGGCCAGCCCGAGCGCCGGTCGCCGCGCCCTGCTCGCGGTCCCTGCCTCTCTCTCCGCTTGCGCGCTGTCTCTGGCTCGCTCTCGCTCCAGTCCCATTTATGAAGCGTGGTCCCATCACGTGTTAATGAGCCTTTGTCCTGCCCTGGCAGCGGCGGCAGCAGAGACTCCGCCAAGGGATCTGAGCGGGGAGGGACCGGCGCGTGGCGCCCGCGGCTCCAAACTTTGCTGCGCGGTGCCCGCTGCGGCTCTGGCCCGGGGGCTAGAGAGGGCCGGCCCTAGGCGCGCTGCGCCCACTGTGTCATCCTCATTCTCCGCCACCGCCGCGGCCCGGGGACCCCGCGGCCTGACCCTGCTCTGCCCCCTGGCACCCTCCTACCCTGGCGGGGTCAAAGGGGGCGAGTGCCTCACTGCCCGCGACCTCGGGACCGTTAATCACGCGCGCTGCTCAGCGCCAGCACCTCGCGGGAGGTCACGCACCGGGCGTCCGGGGCCGAGAACCAAAGCAGCAGACACTCAGTCCGGGTGCGGTCTCCACCCGACCCTCCCCTACGCGCCGCCCCTGCTCCCTCAGCTACCTGGCCACTGCCACTAGTCCTCAGCCCTCGGGGCGCACGACGTCGCCCGGGCGCCTCCAGCACTGGCCCGCGCGACCACTCGGGCGCGCCCAGCCTCAAGCGGTGGCCGCACACGCTCGGCACCGTGGGCGGCCGGCGCCCCCTCCCCAGCTCTGGTTCTCCCCGCACCTCCTGTTCGCGGGGAGACGCCGCTGCGGCGGGCGGGGGCTCTGCTGGGGCGGGCGCCTGGGGACCGGCGGTGCGCCCGGCCGCCGCCGCAGGAATTAGGGGACATGCTCGTTAATTGGTTCCACTATCCGCCGCTGTCTGCCTCCTGTGTGCACGGATCAAACCTTAATTGGTCTTTACATTTATCACGGAGAATTGCAACCCTATACACGAGCGTCAGCCCGCAGCTTCAGCCAAGAGGGCCATTCTCCGCCAGGTCCCCGGGGCCCAGTAGATTGTGGCTGCCTCTGAATTTCGTTTTAGATCTCTTTTTCTACAGAGATTTGGGTCCACTCGACCCCTCAAGGTTTCCACCTGATGGAGCCACATCATATCAGCTCCAAGGCCCCCCCCCCCCGCTATAGGCACAACGTTCAGTTCCAGGCAGGCAAGGTGGCTGCCTGGCATTCATTTTAAGATGCCTTGCTCAGTTTCCAGGACGTCTAGCCCCAATAGCATTCTACAAGGCACCCTCCCCACCCTCTGTTCCCCACTTCCCCCTCCCAGGTCCTATCCCAGCTCAGAGCCAAAACCAGTCATAACGTGTGTCTGGGCCTTTATTTTGAATCTGGTGATCCCAGAGGGTGAGCCTCTAGAAAGAAGGAACATTGAAGGAGAGAAAGCTGCAGAATCTAGGAAGGAGAATCAGGATCAGAGAAGGAAAGTCTGAAACCTTCCTTCTTACAGGTCTAACTGAAGAAAGGCTTCCTGCAGAGAGCTCCAGCTGTCTGAATATCCCTGAGACTGCTTTCCACTAGAGAGAGTAGTTTCCATTTCCATGTCAGGAGATCCCCTTTTGAGATGGAGTCCACAGCTGAAGCAATCAAGTTGTAGGTAAATATAAACAAAGATCTAACAGACCAGTCTGTAGGGGGAGAAATGATTAAGAGAGATGGTCGGGTGGATGTGGGCTATCTGCTGAGCCTAAACCTGCTGCCTAGGCATAGGTTCTTCCTCTAACCCATCTCTGGCATAAGGACCTCTTCTGGAGATTTAGAGAAGCAGGCATCTTCTGCCCATTTCTTTCAGAGGTTATGGTTGTTATTAATGTGCCCTCACCTCAGATTCCTAGCAGAAGTAAACATTTGCACACGCGTGCCTTTCTTGGGACCTCCAGGCCTCTGGATACGTTTCAATACTCCCTGCCAGCACTAGTTCAAATGATGACCTGCGATTAAAGACAGGAGCCAAACAGTTCTTACTCTTGGTGTGGTCAAGTTGGGGAGCTGGACTCCTTGGTGATTTCAGACAGCATGCATTCATGTTACTTAAGCACTTGGGTGGCTCAGCACTGTTGTTCCTACCCAACACAGACACACCCTGGTGGCAGATAGAACCTTCTTTCCAATATTGAGCCACCCCCTTGCTGCTCAGTATCAAATCTGGCAGAAGTCATTTACAACCTGTGCGAGGTACTCTTATGGAAGTGTGTCAGCACCAGCTTTTTTCCTCCGAAGACAGAGCACTCTAATTCCTAATAAGGATGCTGATGTTTATTCTTGTCTCAAAATCATCCCAAATCTCTTTGATTAATGGTGTACTTTTTCACTGAATCCTATGAAACATGAGCAAAGGAAAAAAAAAACATGATACGAACGACTAGGAGTTTGTTAATTGACTGGCTGAAGGCATCTGCGGACTGAAACTATCAGTATTAATCTAATCAGGGAGAGGTTCCAGCAGCTATTACAATTTAACTAGTTATTCTGTTATTCTGTTGTTCAGAACCAGGCCTGGAGTCTGACAGCTGGAAAAGTGTTGCCACTTTTATTCAGGGTTCAAAGATAACACTCAATAATGGTGTCAAACTTTGACTAGTGACCTGGAATTTTATCGCCGCAAAGGAATGCTTTGTTAAAAACAAGAGAATTATGTTGCTTGCAAAGTGCCCTTCTTGTGGGTACACATATATGTTTTTCAAGTTCTGTCTGTCCCAAGCTCATCAACCAAGCAAGGAGCTGCTGTCCCTTTCTTTCTGAGCTGCGGAGCTAGAAGAGAGGCTGATAGCTGACAGTAGAGATGCCAGGCAGGCATCCTTTGATGCCTTGGACTTCACTTTGCAAAGATCACTTTATATGGGAGGAAATGATTTACATCCCACATGTGGCTGAGTGCATCCTGTGCTCCCGAAGGAAACAGCAGGGTTGGCAAAGGCAAGCTATCAGCATCCCTGTTAAGGATACTATGGTGAAGACACATGTAAACATATCACAAAATGTGAATGCTTCTAGATCACTGCAAACCAAGGTTGAATTAGAATCCACGTCCTTCTGAGGAAAGACCTGTCAGTTCCTTAGCCAGGCCTCACTAGTTCCTTCAGGCTTTCTGCTTTTTCAGATCTTTATTCTTTTAAAATTATAACAGGGCTATGATGAGCCAATTTGCTGCTGTTCTATGTAATTTGGGTTATTCATTCAGTGGGATGTAGAAGATGAGAACACAGTTAAAGTGGCATATTTCAACTTCAAAGAAAGATCTAAATTTTAGACAGTCAATATGCTCCTAGTTACACTAGACACAGAACATTAAAGAAGCAATGGCTTCTCTCTGAGAAGACCGTTGATCCCAAAGAGGAAGCACATTAAGGTTTCCCTTTTAACTTGTCTTGGTTCATCAGACCCTCCCACTCCCAGAGTGATACTCCCAGAGTGATAGACAGTGGTGCACTTATTTAGGAATGGGCAAAGCAAAAACACCACTGCTTTAGAGTTTGGAGACTGGGGTTCGGCCCCCATGTAAATTTGGCATATGCAGGGTGATGTGCATTCCTCAGGGCTAGAGTACTGGATGATTAAAGATATTTGGGGAATGATCTGGCTACACAATTCCATCCTTATTTGGAGAGTTGCTTTAGAATTTCAACATATGTTCCTGTCTCTCCTCAGAAACATTAAAGCACCTTTTATTGCAGTGGCTCTGCCTTGCTTGGTGGCCTGCGGACAGACCTGCAGCCCAGGCTCTAGCAGCTGTGAGTGTGAAATGTTCCACCAGTGATGCTGCAGCCTAAAGAACCACCCACATCACTTCTGCATGCTTCGTCTCAGAACCACAAGCTGCTTTTGAAACAGGAGGCTCTTTGTCATTCCCCCATCAGAAAGTCAACTTCCTGGAACTGGCTTCAAGTGGGAAAGCTAGTCACCAGGATAAGAAATGGAGGAAAGAAGGAATGAGGAAGGAAGGATGAGGGCTTCTTTAGGGATACTCTGTTGTATTCAATACAAAGGAGATAACTGTGGCTTCTTGGTGAGCTTTCTATACAACTAAACACATGCTCCTTTTTTTTTTCTTCTTCTCATCTTCTCACCTTCTTTCATTAACTTGCCAGCTGGGCAGTGGCAAGGAAAGCCCAGAAATAACAGGAAGGAGTGTTTTTCTTTTGTTAATGTTCCATGTTGTGTTTTGTTTTGTCACCAAGCAGAGGATTGGTAATGAGGAGATGGAGCCTCCTTACATTCAAACCATGTGAGAAGCATGCTCTAACAGAAGCATTGTAAAAATGTAGCAGTGAAGAAACAGGTGAATAATGCTTTTGTTCCCCTTGATGAAACTCATACAACCAATCACCCAAGCTCTATAATTAAAAGGTTAAAAACATATGTCTAAATATTTCATTTTTTAAAAAAAAAATGGGATAAGCATGTCTAAATATGTCATTATTTTTAAAAATGGAATAAGCAGTAGTATAATCATGTCAAAACAGCAAACAATTGAAAGTCAGTAATAGAGACAGACATTTCTTAGCCATCTGCACTCCCCCTTGAATAGATTGTCTTCCTGGCAGTCTTGGCTATTTTTCTATTGTTATGATAGGACGCCATGACCAAGGCAACTTTGTCAAGAAGAAAGAGTTTATTTGGGTCTACAGTTTCAGAGTCATGACAGCCATGGCAGGAGGCAGCCAGGCATAGCACTGAGCAATAACTGAGAGCTCACATCTTGAAATACAACCACCAGGCAGAAGGAGAGACAATGGGACTGGTTTGAGCTTTTGAAACTTCGAAGCCTGCAGCCAATAACACACTTCCTCCAACAAGACCACACCTCCCAATCCTTCCCAAATGGTTCTACCAAATGGGGACCAAGTATTCAAACACAGGAACTTATGGAGACTGTTCTAACCATCACACTTGTGTTCTCTATGGTTTGTTTGTTTTTTTACAACTTCCAGTAGGAACGTAAAAAAGAAAAGGAAATGACCACCCTTCTTGAGCAAAAGAAAGTAAACGTAATAATGGATCTAAACTCCCCACCTGGTACCAGGAACTCTCAGTAAATAATAGCA